TTTGCATCAGTGGCTTCCTAGGTTCGGGCGAGGGCATGTGTGGAGCTATGGTAGTGTATGTGCTGCTGTTTTGTTTGATTCATCTAGCTGCTGACACGATGACTGTTGGATCTTGGGAGTGTACGATAATCAAATTGGGAGATGCAGCATACCACGATATCCTGGCTTCGGCTGGGCTTGAAATAACCCTTTTGCTGTCCTCCGCTCTTTGCATCAGTGGCTTCCTAGATTCGAGCGAATGCATTTGTGTAGCTGAGATGTGTGTCTACGTGAAAGAACATGTGGAGAGAGTCGTATTGGCATTCGCATCAAGCGCATTGCGCATTTTTCGAATTTTGGCCCCCTTCCAGGGACCTTGATTTTTACCCGCTGGCACTGACGTCTTTTAATTGGTCAGCCGGTTAGCGCGGTCGATGCTAATAATAAAAAAACACACACACACACACTGTTGGGCAGTCATGGGCTAAACTTGTCACAAGTGATGAGTTACCCCCCGACCTCAAAGGAGTTTACCTGTTGGAAGCAGGGAAGGCGGGAAAACCCAGTCAGGATGGAAAACCTGACGAAGAACATCAACCACCGTTCACCTACTGTCGAAATGAATTTGGTCAACACTACCAAGTCTTTGGGGCCCAAGCTCTCCTTTCGAAACCTCTTCATGCAGCAGTGCGCCACATGGTGGAGACAGACTTGCAGAAAGTAGTAGGCGAGGAAACGCCAAAGAAGAGGGCGTTGATCCGCTTGGAGGAAGCGAAAGGCAAGGGAGTTTTGTCGTGGTTGACAACGCATGGGTTGTCAGCAGATGAAAGAATGCTGCCTGATCTATATCGAGAGTCAATCGGTCGTGTACTGGGGAGTCACGATCGAGCAGACTGCAACACAGGCAAACTTTGTGGTGCAGGTGCATTGTTACCATGCAAGGACCGCTTGAGCCGAGCCCACTCCCTCGTCTGCACCAAGACCGGCGCCTCAACCTTCCTCCATAACAGGATGGTTCGAGTGGTCCTCAAGACACTGCGCGAGTGCCATATGCCCATCGCCGTTGAGGATTCTTCCCCTTTTACCACAGGCACTGGTAGGGGAANGCAATCGTCAACCCATCCGCGGGTCGAAGCATCGACAAGCCGATGCAAAAGCCAGGATCCGCCCTCGAAGATCGAGCNGCTTCCTGCATCTCGCCCTTCTCCCTCACAGATTGGTTGGAGTAGTAGAGGGCCGAATTCTGGAGCAAGACCCGCTGCTGGTGTGTCCACGGCTCACCGCTGTGGGAAGGGCGCGAGAGAAACCGATCCCACGCCCACTCGAGATCCTTGGAATTATCTGTCGCCCAGTCGAGAGGCTCGCAGGTGCTCAGATCAGTGGGCGCATTCGCCGCAGGTGGTGCTGCCATGCTTTCGGTACGCCCTCGGCACGATGATGGACCACAAGATACGATGGTAGCGCGCCCTTTTCAAACTTGCCAGCTCCGTGCCTCGAAACTCGACACCACCCCCCCACGCAACTACCCACCGCGTGTAGCAGATTTTCTAATTGTCCCATAACTTAGGATTGCCGGAGTTCCCAATTGGAATTCCCCGCTGGAATCCGCTTTTTCCAAGCTCGCAAATTTCCAAATTGGAATTCCCCATAACAATTGGCCTTACATGTTGAGAGTCTCCTGTCCATCCCAGATATTGGAATGTCCGGGCGCGCAGCCTGTTCTTGGGGTTGAGTAATTGTAGACTAGTGTTTGCGAGCTTGTTGCTCGGACCTGGACGTTCTTTTTGTCCCTCGTTTTTCTACTTCTCAAACGCACGCGGAATTATTGATTCCGCTGTTCCTCCAGCGGGTATATACACGACGGTGGGGGCTTGTAGAGAAATCGACGCGACGACTTAATGTTAGCCAAACTGCTGTACAATTCCGTTGCCTGTTGGAATTTGCGTCGACAGTTGCATCCACTGTCAGGGGAGCATGTCCCTCACGGCGACTACGCGAGACGACAGTTGAAAGGGGAAGGAGACGTTCGCTTGCTTCGTGTGCCCGACGCTGATCGGTCACGAGGCCCCCTACTACTTATGCTCGACCAGAAGGGAGGAGGCAAGCCCTGGACGGAAAGCCCAGTGGCGTCTACCTCCACGGTGATGGCCGCAGGTGGGTCGGCAAAGAGCAGCCGAAGGGCAATGGCGCAAGAGCTGAGCCGCACATCCGAAACTTGAACGGAGACGGGACGGGTTAACATGTGTCATGAAAAAGTGTAGGTACGACAAGAGAGCGGTGTTTGTGGTACTTTGACATGAGTCCGATCTGTGCATCCTCTGTGGGGGATACGCGTATGGAAAGTATGGGTGTGATGGGTATGTATGAAGTTTGGGTCCAAGTGCGGTCCCCCCGGGTGAGCACACGGCGGTGTGCTCCCGGCACTTGCCTGAGGGGCTTGCGTGTTGGTGACCAGCTTGCCTGAGGGGCCTGCGTGACGGATACATACTATACATGGTCCTTTTTCATCTGCTGTTCCTGGGATAACATGGCACCCAGTCTCAACACCACAGACCGCTGAGGGTGGCAGTGCACACTAATAAGCGGGATTGCTCGTGCACGTGCAGGTCTTCCACGAGGTGGACCGGATCGCGCGGGAGACAACACTGCCTAGCACTTGAACAACATTCCGGGGAGCCCTCCGTACAAGTGAGTGAATTTTGCATGCGTGCTACAATTTCCAGGACCGCCCCGTCTATTTTTTCATGTCGCTATTACAAGTAACTGCGGTTGTCGATCTGATTGTGCCAGGTTGTTTTCCTCCTTTAGTTTTTTCAAATGTTGCTGTGCTCTTGCGCATAGTGCTGAAGGTGTTTCTTCTTGTTCTACTTGTATTGTTGTGCCCTACTGCTGTACCACTACCGCAATATCCCTTGAGTTTGCCCTGGGGGTATCGATTTTTTTGTTTTACAGTTTTTCGCAAACCACCTTGGAGTGAGTCGCGGGATGATATTTATTGTGTTTTCATCAACTTTTTGGGGCGCCCCGCCGGGCGTTCGCACACAAACCCACGGGCAGCATTCTCGTCTGCCAGTTGCCCCAGTCACCCTTCTTGTGCGTTTTGGATGCTTCTCATAGATGCTGTTGAGTCCTGACATTGTCAGGGTCAACGCGTCAGCGCTGTGTTGTATTGTACAGCAGGTGCATCAGGTGCGTCAGAGCAGAAAAGAGACGACCCCCCCGCCCGGGGGGGTTCCCCCCCCCTCGGTGTTTGCCATCGGGATTGGGTTTTCGTCGCTTGGTAACGACGTTGTATAACAAGCCAATTCGCTTCGTAAGCTCGGCAACCAGGTTACCGTTTTTTTTTTTACCTCTTGTTTTCTTTTTTGGCGGTAACCATCATGGTGGTCGAGTAGATCATGTTTTGCGGGGTCGAGAACCCTCACTCCGTGCAAGGGGGATGATCGCACCACGTTGTGTTAAAATGGTCAAGCACCCTCGAGGCTGTTACACAGTGGTTATAACTGTCTCTGGAAGTGAAAGCACCAGAAAATAATTTTAAGTCATACGCAGCTGTCATCCGTACGCAAGGAAGTAAGCACAAGATGCCGAACACCC